ACACCACTGATAAAACGAAGTAAGGGAGACGGGAGCGGGAAAAAGTGTATTATCAAGTAACAACGGAGGATCTTTTTCGCGTGGTCGTTCGTCTTGGTGTCGCTGAAAGATTGCCGGTTTGCCGACCACAATACTGTTGACAAATCCATGAACCCTGTGGTGCTTTAGCAATACCAATGCAGTGAGTGTGGAAACCTCGATCACATCTATCGCAGAAAATCATGGATTCCTAGAGATGAAGAAAATTTTTTATCAGTTCAATCAATTTGGTTCGCTTACTTCCTGGTCCCCAAGAGAGCACACTGAACATCGTTTGCATTCTATACATTGCCATGGATATGTAAGCACGCATGCTACCATTTCGTCACTCATTTCCAAACATGAAGCATGCGCTTGCATCGGACAGGAAACGCATCTGAGATTTAGAATTTGTTAGAAGAAGAAAAGTGAAGACACTCTGTAAATCATTGTTGAATGCAAATTTCAAGTTTTCAAATTTCTTGAATTCCAGGTTTGAGGATCTAAGATTACGACATACAACCGTATTCAATTACATTACCACGTAAGGGGAAGTTGACGTTTTGACGTTTTTTGACAACACCTGCAATAACATTGCGTACAATTCTAATTTTTTTTCCCACCCTGTTATTTAATTCACTGGAAAAACGGCATTTGTGCGTAATCAAATTAAAATTCACTACCATTACGAAAAATCTACCATTACTACGAAAAATTAGGTTGCGACAAACATTTGGAAAAAAGAGTAAATTTTATGATAATGGGTAAATAAAATCGCTGTTTTTGTTTCATGCTAGTAAAAGTCAAAAATCCAATTTTCTGACATCATACACCACCAGAAAGAGTAGATCCTTCTTGACACGATATTGGCAGCCAAAGCCGACACGGTTACTTATAACTTAGAGATCAATGAAGTTCAAGTTCCGGAATATCTAAAAAGTCACTCTAACAGCTGCACTTTCCGAATGGATTTTGAAGTTCGCTTAGATAATGTGTCTTCGATATTTGAAATGCTTTA